AATCGGAAAAACTTCCCAATCTGCTCGCTCTCAGGGAATCCTTGTTCATATCGAACAAATCCAAATACCCGAGGAGAATTACGAGGGCTTTGATGGTGTCAATAAAATTGGACTATTCGTAAGTTCACTGAGATTCTGCCGGAACCCAACCAGTAAAGCAGTAGTCATCTATTCAGCTATCAGAAGCCGTTGACAATCCCAATTACAATTCCTTATCCAGTGGACGATCTGGAAGCGTGCGAGTTGCCGGATTCGTTCCACCAGCGGGTAACTCCATTGAAGTTGCAGTAACTGTTAAAGCCACAGTGGTATTTTCAGACATCTACCTGCCTTTCTCCCGTTTGGAAGTGTCATTCTTCGCTCCACCACGTAGTGAATTCCGCCTTACATGGCAGAGTGTGCCTAAGCGGAACGCGAATCATACTGAAGGTGAAGGAACCAATGCTACGAGAGGTATCGTCTACACCAATTATTCGCTTTTTCGCCCTCTCTCCAGTGTAACCTTCTCTTCTTATTCGTTGAATCTTCTTTTCTGCCCAATTGTGAGGCTCCTCCTGCCGTGCTCGTGGCTCCATTGGATCCTTTCTGATCTTCCCCTTCCACCTCTTCTCCGCAATTCCCTCAAGGTGGCATCCCTTCCGTCGTCGTGCATGAACTACCGCTCTGTTTACGATGAAGCTCTTGAGCAACTATTTTATAGAAATACATCAGTAGTGTCGCCTGTCCTACAAAGAATTGAGGATAAAATCCGTGGACGTCGATGACCCGCCTGAGGAATGCGCCCCGCATTCGCCTTCAATCCATAATCGTAGTAGCGTATTGAATGGGTACGTGGTCGATACAAAGATTTGCGATGGCCAGTCGATGTATAGGTCAGTGCTTCCATTTTCCCAGACGAGCCTGGTACCATTCAATCAACCGGAAAGCTCGGTCCGCTCAAATATATATCGATTGAGGGTACGAACACATGGCCATGCATGTAATAGTGCGCCATTTGCCACTGCATCGCTTCCGCGCCTCCCGTATATGTCAATGAAATTGTTCAAGAGCATGTTGCAGTGGGGTTGACCATCCCGTGATTGTTCCTTGCGTTCTGAAGTTTCAATTTTCATGGATTCAGTCATTCTCTAAACCTTTATCGAAGCCTAAATGATTCGAACGATTGGGTTCTGAAAAACGATTTTTTTCCCTTCTAACCTATCCAAAATCGGTAGATATTCCTAAAATACTCGATAGAGACTGCCTTTTACAAATTCTATTCCAGTTTACTCCTGCGGATCCGTCATGGTTCCAACATGGGAGTGGCAGGAGTTGACCAATCCGAAGCCTCCTGGTAAAGGTAAGGAATAGTACTTGAATTGCCAAGATAAATATGGGAAGGGTATGGTTTTGATAGTATTCCTGGGAACATAGATTTCTGAGGGAATGATGAGGTTGATCGTACTGAGATCCTTTATTCGGTAGAGCACAAACAGTCACTGGACCGATGAACGAAGAGAAGAACGTTGGCAAAGTTGGTCGAGAAAGTGGGGAGAACGAACCACCGAGAGTTTATATATGCTACATGTTTTGTAGTACAACTATAAACATTGTGATACCATATCAGAACTCGTCGGTGTAAACAAGGGAGGTTGACTTTCTGTTCGGTACAGAAAGAGGTCATGGAGATGCATTATTCCTTCTCATAAAGTAATGTCACCGCTCTGATGTTTTTTACTCTGTTCAGATTCTGGATATGAAAACAATTTGCATTGCAAATGGACGATTGAAAGACCACTGATGACTGGGCTCCGAGTTAAGGTGAATGATTCCAAGCTTCTCTTAATTTTTGAATAAATTGGGTGTATTTGTAGGATTTTTTGTGAATGACATCGCCCTTTGAAAAGTGGTCCATGACGTTGAGCCGTGAAAAACGCTCATAGAATTGTGCTTCAATAGTCAACATCACTTTCCCGCTTCTCTGTCCTTATAAGAGCTAAAATACCAACATCTGGTGATGTAGTTCGCTCTTACGATAAGCGGCCTCAAAAATAATCTCCCACCGATCCCTACAGCCCTGGATAGTCGTCTCCAAAGCCTTTTGCAAAATGGTTTATGAAGATATATTCCCGCGAATATTGAACGCTCGTTGACTTGACTTACTTTTGAGGCGTCTTTGTGGACCATCATCATTGTTTATCGGGTGCTGGGTACTACCCCAGATTAAGAACCGGCACGGAAAACGGGCCCGGGCAAGTCTCGGAAATTGCGATTTTATGCAATTTTCATGCAATAATTGCGATTTTTTAGTTCAGAATTCCGTGAAAAAAATATGAAAAAGCAAAACCCAGTCAGATTCAATTACCGTACCACCTGGCTTTTACCTGGAATCCGAGCTTCCGAGCAAGAACTTCAATGATGGTTTCGTAATTGAAGGTGTCTGTATTTCAGTTCACCCTACTTGATCTGGAAGGTGTACCAGGCTGTCCGTTTGACTTCGTTTCGCTCTTGCCTGATCGTGACATCACTGAAGGAAGTGGAGAGTGAGTGACGGAATGATTTTAGAAGTATTTTTGAATAGTTACCTCTAACACTTGATGACCATTCAGTCTGGGCGGACAGTGGGCGTTCGATGAGTGACAATTAGCTCCGTCCAATTTTTGAGACGATTGTCATCTAAAAGACGAGACTAACTATTAGTGAGGGAGTGAGCGGAAATACTCTCCGCCCACATCATGGAATGTGTGGAGTGCAATTTACTTATCCAAAGAAATACTGTAGAATTACAGTAACGGGGGAAACTGGCCCATACAGATTCTACCTCGACGACAGGATGTTGTGACGGATGCG